ACGAGTTTGTACAACTCCCTGACACCAAGAGTACAGTCATTTACATACCATGTACCAGGAATAATTATGACTGTACTCTTGCTGACACCTATTCTACATGTACTTCACTCCTCTCCACATTCATGATCACTGTGCATGCACATAACATGCACAGTGATTATCGTTCTAATACATGTAGGAGATGTTCTGTACGTAGTAGTCTCAGATCCGCAGATCTGCACAGTGATCATGAATGCTACGAGGAGACTCATAGGAGTTTGCCGAGGCTCCTCCCATTTATATTGTGAAGGAGAAGAAAGACGTGTGTGACCATGATCAATGGTTTGGTTAACAGAACGTGTTCACATTACTATCTTTTAAAAATGTGCTTGTAACATTCTTCGCACTTCCCTGATGAGCGCTTGTGGAATGATTGTCACATCGATCCCTATCTACTTGTCATTGCCATTTTTGCACACTGTAACCTTCAAGTTAAGCGTATGCCGGTATCGTTAACGGTTTTATCCTACTGCTGGGTATCTGTCACGCGTGGCAGTCAAGAGGTCCCATTGATGAATGTGCCAAGAGAACGTTCATGGAACCAAACTATTGCTACTTTGCTTTGTGACACGGACGCAGGTATATGATTATTATTACCGTAATGGCTAGATAACAGCTATTATCTCTACTTCGCCTGTTCATAGTATGAATAATTGGAGATTGTGTGTGTGTGTGTGTGTGTTGAAGTTCTGGAGCGCTGGGGAGATACCTTGGACATGGAGTGTCGTCTCAGCAGACGTCGCCTTGAGTGGCTTGGTCATGTGGCAAGGATGGAGGATGAGCGCATCCCGAAGGCTCTACTGTTCGGTTCGTTTCCAAACAAGAGACCTGCCCATGGTCCGCGGAAAAGGTGGCGAGACTGTGTTCGGAGTGACGTCAAACCACTTGACGACTGGTATGAAGTGGCCACCTCTTCTCGCTCCAAATGGCGCAAGGCTTACCGTTGTCTGCCAGACAAGCAGAACAGACCTCGACCATCACCGGTTGTGTGCCAAACTTGTCACCGCTCCTTCAGTCGTGTAAGTGACAGGAAGCGACACAAGTGTACAGCTACGCGTGCCCTACCCGTAAGCCAACAGCCAGGAAGCTGTCACTGCGAGCAGTGCGACAGATGGTTCCGGAGCAAGGGTGGATTTGCCCGACACAAGTGCTCGCCAGCAACATCACCAGCAGAGGCATCTTCTGACACACTTGAGTCACCGGTTACAAACAATATGTCCTGCGAACGCTGCAGCTTCCACTGCGCCCGCTGCAACCGCTGTGTGCTATCGCGCCAAGGCATGAAACGTCACAAGTGCAGCCGTGGCTCGGCCAGAGCAACCAACACAGACCGTAGCTCCTTCTGCATCGTTTGCAATTGCGGTCGGCGTTTCAGTAGACCACAGGACCTATCCCGTCTGTTCCGAACCTGCTCAACCCCCCATGGGGTCCGCATAGCCAGAATATGGCAGCGCGTCCAAGGTCCAAGGTGTGTGTGTGTGTGGTGTGTGTGTACTGTAATTTCACAAATTTTCGGTGTACTTTTATTTTCGGTACTTTCGGTGCATCTGTTTCATACCTAAAATTTCAATACACCGAACGAACATTAACGCACATAATCCAATAGGGAACTGCTTCTCTGTACCGAAAATTTCTGTTCACCTAACCTAGCTTTTTGCTCTCATACCGAAAATATTGAGCACCGAAAATTTCTGAAATTAGAGTATATGTGTGTGTGTATGTGTGTGTGTGTGTGTGTGTGTGTGTGTGTGTGTGTGTGTGTGTGTGTGTGTGTATGTGTGTGTGTGTGTGTGTGTGTGTGTGTGTGTGTGTGTGTGTGTGTGTGTGTGTGTGTGGTGTGCTGCAAAGTAAAACCTATGACCAAGAGTATTTTACTCTTGCTATGACTACACTTTAACGAAAAAAAGTAGCTCGGTGGTGTGAGTACGGTGCATCTTTGTACAACGTGGACCTGAACGTAAATGAGTAAGTCCTTGACGCAATCGTTACTCCAGCCAACAACAATCCCATTCTGAGGACTGAAGTCGAATATGCTATCAACTCCCTCAAGAACAACAAATCAGCGGGGTTCGATAACATTCCTGGCGAGCTTTTGCGACATGGTGGAGATACGTTGGTGGCTGTTATGCACAGGATTTGTGACCTCGCATGGACGACTGGTAGATGGCCAACATCATGGACAAGGTCCATTCTTGTTCCCATCCCTAAGGGGCCTTTTATATGTGCAACTCCAGCCCGGGCTGGAGCGAGCGGGCCAGCCCGCCAAGGGTGTTTACATGTGCAAGGCGGGGCTGGTCGCCAGCCCGCAGTGAGTTTATATGCGCTGAGCACACGCCAGCCCGTTGTGAGTATGCAGCAAACACACTACGACTGTAATGTGCTGCCCCGGGCTGAGACGCAGGGCTGCAAGCCATACTCACTGTAACTCAGGTTATAAACATAAAAACTTTTTTTCTCACACAATGTATTCTGCTGATTACTTTTCGCGCTGTGACACATGTTTGGTGTGCTGTATCACCTCGTTTCTTTTTCCTGTTTTTCACATTTTTAGCTGTCCATATCAAAGTATTTTGCAAGTAGTTCCCCTTCCATTTTAATGTAAATCATGCATGTCGACAAATAAACAGTGCTCATTGCACGTCCTTCTTGTTGCTGTACAAAAAGCTTCCTAGATTTTCAAGACAATATCGGGAATCCTCTTTATAACTTCCCTCAAGAGGTAAAAGTACCTATTTTGTAGTATGAACGCAGTTTCGATACCATAATAATACAACTCTGGCCCGGGCTGGTCTGTTTATATGTGCTTTTTCTGGCCCGCCTAGCCGGGATCCCGGGTGCCTCGAGGCGGGATCCCGCCTCGCCGGGCCAGCCCGCTTGCCATGTAAACGCACCACAGGTTTTGTGTGGATTTGTGTATAACCCCGAGATCCCGTTGCAGGCGGGCTGGCCCGCCTGTCGACCAGCCCGGGCTGGAGCTGCACATATAATCACCCCCTAAGTCTGGAGACCTTCGGCAGTGCCAAAACTACAGGACAGTGAGCCTCATCAGTCATCCGAGCAAAGTGCTACTGAGGATCTTGCTGAAGCGCCTGCAGCCGCAAGTGGAGGGTTTGCTGGCGGATGAGCAAGCAGGGTTCTGGAAGAGAAGAAGCACAGTGGAGCAAATCTTCAACCTCAGAATGTGAATTGAAAAGTACCGTGACCATCAGAAGGCTGTGTATCATTGGGCGCTTTCGATTACATGCATTTCGGTCAATTCTAGAATTAGTTATTGTTGATGCACAGTTCGATTACACAAAAAGTGACAAATTCCGTCGTTAGAATTGATGGCTGTGTATCATTGGGCGCTTTCGATTACACGCATTTCGGTCAATTCTAGAATTAGTTATTGTTGATGCACAGTTCGATTACACAAAAAGTGACAAATTCCGTCGTTAGAATTGATTTTATCCAATTCCGTCGAATCCGTCAATTCTGAAGAGAGGGCGGAATTTCTCTAATTCTGGCGCCAGAATTGCACAGTCGGTGTGTTACCGGTCTGGTCATGACTCAAGCGCGCAAAGAGCCTCCCTGGCCGGCGTGTGCGCGATGCTGGGTCCACGTGCGCGCGAGGGTGTACGTGATCTCTTTTTACGATTCATCAATTTTGTTTGTGACATGACACAATAAAATGCGTTGTGAATTCCAGTCGTTCGTTTACAAGGCCGGAATCCGCTCATTCTGGTCATTCCAGAATTTAAAAAAACAGTTCCATATTTGTGTAAACGTGTAATCGAAAGCGCCCATTGCTTCATCGATTTCCGTAAAGCCTTTGATAGGGTTTGGCACAAAGCGCTGTTCAAGATTATGAAGGCGCATGGCATCGAAGCAAGAATTGTGGACCTGATTGAAGCGCTTTACGCTACTACTGAAGCTGCCATAGTTGTTGGATCCACTATCACTGACTGGTTCACCACGTCAGTGGGTGTCAGGCAGGGCTGTTTACTCTCGCCTTGTCTGTTCAACGTATTCCTGGAGTACATCATGTCTGACGCTTTGGAGGAGTTTGATGGGTCAGTATGACTTGTATCGGCGGCATGTGCGTGACCAACCTACGTTTTGCGGATGATATAGATCTAATCGCATCGTCTGTGGAAGAGCTGATGGACCTGGCCGAGCGCTTGGATATGAGTGCAACAAGACTAGGCGTGCAGATCAATGCTTCCAAGACCAAGTCAATAGGGCTTGAAAGTGATGACGTCAAAAACGGCCAGGGAGTACTAAGTTGACATCAGATTTCTATTTTGGATCCACTAAGGTGTGACTTTGCTATTGCCTCAGTATGTGGGTGCATAGCAACCCACTCATGTCGTATGCAGGGGTGACTTTTACTTCGCCACCAGTTGTAACCCCGCCCCCAGTAGCCAAATCAGTCAGTTTCACTGGTAACATCACCTTGTTGAGAGTAAGACGGCTTGAAATGTGCTTGGATCCATACAAAAACTGGATCCAAGTGGATCCAATTTTTGAATTTTTGAAATTGTTGCTATGCTGTGACGTAGCACTTTCAAGCCCTATGGCAGCGCCGGAGGGCAGTGGTGATCTGGGGTGCATTCAAGTAGGCAATGAGCGAATAGAAGAGGTATCCCAGTTTAAATACTTAGGTGCTATGATCACGTCGGATGGCAAGTCCGATGTGGAGATAAGAAGACGCTTAGCACTAGGGAAGCAAAAGATCATTGAGCTTCAATTCATTTGGAAATCGCCATCACTTTCTTTGCCTACTAAATTTCGTTTTGTTAGGTCTATTGTGCTAGCGACTGCCAATCTTGGACATTATCTGCCTCATCAATGAGAAGAATTTGGTCCTTCGAGATGAATGCTTCCGCCGACTCTTAGGAGTAACATACCACGACCGGCGTACCAACCAATCTATCCTGGAAGAAATCAATGACATCATCGGAGCAAGGATGCGGTTAGCGAACGAAGTCAAGAAATTAAAGTTGATGTGGTTTGGCCATGTTACGAGACATGACGTTTTCTCCAAGCCCTTCCTGCAAGGATCAACTCCTGGATCTCGACCGAGAGGAAGGCCCGCGACATCATGGATTTCTAACATTAAAAGTTGGACGGGTCTTCCCTTGCACGCTCTCTCTCATGCAGCACACGATAGAGTTGGATTCAGAGACATCATTCACAATTCGCTCGCTGATTAATGCCTCTACGATCACCTTGATTATGAGTTATACATACATACATACATACATACATACATACATTTACATACATACATACATACATACATGACTATAATGTGGAGCCTGATATTTTGTCCGGAAACTTGTAGGCGCCTCTCTATTGTTGCCTGTGGCATCCGCTGAATGATAATACTATGTGCATACCAGGTATAACGTTCATTAGTTGGTTACAGGATGTCCATTGTCTTTCAGCATGCTTCAATCTTCCTGCTGTGTATGTGCATCATGTGACTACCAGCGGTAATGGCAGTCATAATATTATGACTGATGGGTGTCATTAGAATTAGAATCAGAATGGTTCATGTGGTACATTCACATACTAATAGGTCTCTTCGTAGATGACATCAAACTGGTCTTGCCCAAGATTCGCCGCCACCATGGCATCATCACTCTGTGAATGACCGGATTGGCATATGTTTACTAACTGCTGCCGCGAGTGTGGCTGTGGGGGCTGTGCCGGATCAGCAGTAGCACTGCTCGGTGCAATGCAATGTGCAGCTGCAGACAGCGGCAGGGTAGGCCAGTCCTGGGTATAGGCGCCAGTGAAGCCCTTGCTCAGCGGCTTTGAAGCCTCCCTCAGTGGTGCTGGCCGATTGGCTACAAACTGACGGGGACTTATCCCTGAAGGTTTCATGCCGGTTGGATGTTCTGTGGATGCTGCACTCCGAAGTCGACTAACCGGCGGGAAATGTTCATACTGGTACATATGGTGTTGACTGGGGTCACCTGT